GAGGTTTCTTTCATTAATCAACAGAAAAGCTAAATTTCTAAAGAAAAAAAGTCCCCTCATAAAATAGTTAAATCAAAATGAATTCCCAAAAAGTAGATATAGAATAAGTCAGCAGGCAAAAGAAATATTTTTGTTTAAACAATACTGGTCAATTAATTAAAGTATAAAACAAATTGGTCATATTTCACAGAGATTTTATATACCAACTTATATGGACAAATTAAAAATATATTCTAAATGTTAAAATGATGTACAAAGAAAACCACCGGCAAAGTATGCACAAATAAATCATATATATATATTCGGTTAATGAGAATTACACTAACACCCCAAACACATAGCCCAAAATCAGTTAGGAAATATTAATGGCAGGCAAAATGAAAACCAAAGAAGTAAAAGTTGGGTCAAAATCACATTTGGGAAGCAGTATATGACATGATTGATTGATACAATGCATTCAACATTGATTGTATTAATTTGTTTTATGTCCAGTCTTAATATGGTTTCTCCACAAGCAGAATAATAGAAAATACTGAAATGATATTTTTCATCCCACTAGTCCATGGTATAAAATTTTTTAATGGAAAATACACTTAAATCAATGGAAACTTATTAACCAATCTTCAATTTTCTATTTAGCAATAATTGCAAGACTATGAAAGCCTCGTACTTGCATTAAAAATAAAAGAATGATATGAGCAAAACATAAGAATGTTTCTTTACGTACCAAAATTGTCATTAAGTTTTTTTCTGTCAGGTTGGTAAATTTCTGCTTAGAATTTTTATACAACATCATATTTTTACATTTCTTTTAACAATTGCCATTAAGTAAGAGAACTGTTACAACTACTATATACATATACATAAATATACACTGGCATACACTTACAATTGAGTACAGTGGGAAAAGAATGTTGAAATATATTATTGATAAATATTTGACTAGTTATAAAATTACCAATATTTGACAAGTGCATACAACTTGTCAAAGTGTTGGAAAAATAAGATCACTACTCATAAGACTGTCCACTGATTACTCAACAGAAACTTTTCAGGCCAGATGGAATTGGCAAGAAATATTCAAAGTAATGAAAAGCAAGGACTTACAACCAAGATTATTCTATCCAGCAGAGCTGTCATTTAGAATCTCAGAAAGATAAAAAGTTTCTCAAACAAGAAAAAGCTAAAGGAGTTCATACCAACAAACCAGTATTACAATAAATGTTAAAGGGTCTTCTTTAAGATGAGAGGGAGTTGGGGGAATGGATAAAAAAGGTAAGGGATTAAGAAATACAAATTTGTAGTTACAGAGTGGTCATGGGGGTGTAAAGTACAGCATAGAGAATGTAATTAATAGTGTAATAACTAGAATATTGTGTCAGGTGGCTACTAGATTTATCAGGGTGATAACTAAGTTTTATAATTTCTAATCAGTGGGTTGTACACCTGAAACTAATATAATAGTATATGTCAACTGTAATTGAAAAATTAAAAAAATTTTAAATCAAAAAAGTAAATAAATAAATGTTTCACTTGCCCATTTCTGTTTCCAATTAAGCCACTGAATTATGGATAATAAAGGAAAATAATATATCCATAGTAAGTTATACAATTTTTTGTACACCATTTTTTGAACACTGACCATAATGAAATAAACCTCACTTTAAATATAATATTAAATCCCCATTTAATATACATATTCTAAGAGTACATTTAATGTCTAAAATAAGTTTCTGTTTGTCCTAAGTCTAGAAGTAGATGTTTATCCAAGCCTATGTTCTCTTTATGGAGACCACTCCACCCTCCCCACTCCCATCTTTCTGGTTTCCCTCACTTCTTTCCCTGTTCTTCAGTACTCCCATATTAAATTTTGTCTTCTGTGTTTTCTCTGCTCTTGCCGCTCTCTCATCTCTTTTGCCCCATCCCCATCTGCTCACCAGGAGTGGGACTTATGGTCTAAGTTCAGATGCCTAACATGGTTTTAGCTCCCATGGGCTATGAAGAGGGGAGGAACAGAATGGAGATTGGAGCCATGAGAATAGCCTCTGGAACCTCTGAGGAGCTGGTCCACAGGGTGTAGTAAGCAGTGGTAAGTAGCAACAGTACAATACAGCCTGCTCAAGCTAGTAGGTCTGGTTTGGAGCCAGGGAAGTCATGACAATAGGAATGACGAGGCATACAGCATTCCAGGTATGCAATATAAGCTGGGAGGGGAAATTATTCTGGTAGGACTACAACACATCTGGTGCTGCAGATTCAGAGGCTCTCAATACCCTAAATCTGGTGTGTTACTGCTTTCATATGAGAACAAATTTCTCTAGTATAAGCTATATAGTACCCTTTTAGAAAACCCGAGATTTTCAGGGTGAGTATTCTTGAAATAAATCTATACCTTTTTTATTAATAGCCAGTGGCAACTGGAGACCAGCAGTTTATATTCTTAACTGCAATTCAGCCACCCCTAGAGAATGTTGCCCTAGAAGCACCACATATGATAGGACAGTAATCCCAGCTGCCTGATTTTCCGTCCTAGCTTTTCATCTTGCCGTGTCTCCCAGCATTCTTTCCTGCTTCTCTGGATGGGATAGAGTAGCTTTCCATGACTCAGACAACTATTCTCACCAGAAGACTCCAGGCTAGGTGTGGAGTCAATAGTTTATTTGTGGTGTATTGATCCAGGAAGAAAAGAACACTATAACTAACTGAGAACAAAGTAGATGAGTTTATAGAAATAGATTTATTTCTTTAAAGTAACTGAAATGTGGAGACAAGTAGTCTGACTAACAAGATGGCTTTTATCTGTATTTATGTCTGAAGCTATTGTTGTTTTCTAATTCTAATTCTGCCTTTTGAACCTCAGATCTTTGGCCACCCTTTGTTAATGAAACCTAGTTCCAGTTGCCAAATATATGTTATGTGAAAGAATAATGTCCCTGTGAACACATTTGAAAATACCTGGATACTTTGGCATTCTTTACTAAATAGTAACATTGATTCTTTGAAAAAAATAAATAACTCAACTGGCTTAAGGTAGGAATGATGAAAGAGTAATATCTAGCCTGAGTCAAGGAGGTTGGTGTTACTGGAAAGTCCTGGGCTCTGGTACAGGCATCTGTGTCACCTAAACTGGGAGCTCTGGATGTGTTGATTATCTCTGTCCTTAATGCGGTATCCCCATTCTGAATTTGAAAGTTTATTTTGCTAAGAAATCTCTAAAGAAAGATTGATGGAGAGTATTGAAAAATAAAATACCAACTGTAATTTTGAGATGACCCAGAAATAGAACTAAATGAAAGGAGTCCCCCTGTAAAACCCAAGGATCATGGATACCATGTGGCTAACACCAAGAGTAAACTCTTATGTTAAGCAAAATAAAAAGAGAGATGTTTAGTTTTCCAAAGGTCTAGACCTGTACTGTCCAATAGAATAGCCAGTAGCCACATGTCATTACTGAGCACTTGAAATGAGGCTTGACAGAATTGAGATGTGCTGGGAGTGTCAAATACACACCTAATATTGAAGACTCAGAGCAAAGATAAAAGCAAATAATGCAAATTAGCTCTTTAACAGTTATTTACACTGATTACATGTTAAAGTGATAATATTTTGGATATATTGAGTAAAAAGTATAATTATAATTAACTTTGCATGTTTTCTTTTAATTTTTTTTCCTAGTGGTTTCTTACTGTATTTTTTCCATTGCCCCTGCAATCATCACTCTGTTGTCTGTGTTCATGAGCCCTTTTTCTTTTTTGCTCCTTCCCACTATCCCCCAATCACCCCACCCTGGAGCTATCAACCTGCTCAAAATTTTTGTGTGTGGCTCACATTATATTTTTATTGGAAGTGCTGCTTCAGATTATATGGAAACTGATAATATATTAGGCAAAACAGAAGGAGAATTTTTTTTATTCAACTTCTATATCTGCCTTCAAGTATTCACCCTTCTTGCCTTTGAGGAACAGGCTTTCACTTCTTCAGAAAATATAGAGAAGCTGACTCATAAGACCACTGCCATTGTTGACAAAAACTGGTTAAGGTTGGACTTTCTCAGAGCATTAGAAGCAAGTAATGTCACTGGGTTATATCAACCAATGTTATAAGATAGACCTTCTCATGACAATGGTATAAAAGGTTATCTTTTATGTGTCTTGAATTTGTTCATAACCACTTATGGTGCATCAAGCCAGGAACCCATGAGAACTTGTTTAGTCAGGTCAGGGTTTGTGACTGACTGAGAATCCATGTGGAATCAGATGAAAACAGCAGGTGATTCTGTCCCTTACCCTTGGAATAGCGTTATTGAACCAAAATCAATGACTTTTGAAATTTTTTTCCCAGGACATTAGGAAACTTTTGAATAACTTCTCTAATGTGCTTGTTCCTGTAAAATTGATAGTCATAATGCTAAAAGTCTTCAGATATTTTCTGATGATGCACTCAGCCTTGGTTTCACCTTTGCTTGTGATGTCTTCTCTTGGAGAAAGGACACAGGCAGGAATTTGTTTAATGTCTATGGCTTATCTGCTCTAGAAGCAGAGCCTACATGAGAGTTTTTGCTTTTAGAGGCAGAAAAGGTAATAAGAGTTGTAATTCAGACTTCTTGGTCACATGTCATGGCTTCACTACTGTGATTTTAGCAAAATGACTTTAAGTACCTTTGCCTTTATTTCCTCATATTCAAAATTCAGATAACAATGGTGTTCTCTTATAAAAAAAGATGATCATGTAATTTATCAGCCAAGTTAAGAAACTATTAAAAGTGAAAGTGGGAATTATACCAGGTATATAAGAAATGTAGTCATCCTATCATTTTACTTGTAGGACTTTTTACAGAATGGATTGGTTTATATTTACCAAGGACTTAGATAGTACTAGACACTTATGATTATCTTTCAATGGTTCTTTGGAAAATGAGTTACTTCTCCATGAATATTTATTATGTCTGAATGTATTCATTTTTCCTACCTTTCAAGTTTTCTGAACTGTCAGTTGTGATCAGGAATCTTTACATGGCATCACTCAGCAACTGCTCCACTGCTCCAGTCTCTCAATTCTTCCTTATCTGCTTCCCTAACTACCAGAGCTGGCAGCACTGGCTGTCCCTGCCCCTCAGCCTCCTCTTCCTTCTGGCCATGGGGGCCAACGCCACCCTCCTGATCACCATCTGGCTGGAGGCATCTCTGCACGAGCCCATGTACTACCTGCTTAGCCTCCTCTCCCTGCTGGACATTGTGCTCTGCCTCACTGTCATCCCCAAGGTCCTGGCCATCTTCTGGTTTGATCTCAGGTCCATCAGCTTCTCTGCTTGCTTCCTCCAGATGTTCATCATGAACAGTTTTTTAACCATGGAGTCTTGCACATTCATGGTCATGGCCTATGACCGCTATGTGGCCATCTGCCACCCACTACGATACCCATCCATCATCACTGATCAATTTGTGGCTCAGGCTGCCATATTTGTTGTGGCCCGGAATAGCATTCTTACTATGCCTATCCCCATACTTTCTTCCCGACTCAAATACTGTGGAGAGAACATGATCAAGAACTGTATCTGCACTAACCTGTCTGTGTCCAAACTCTCCTGTGATGACATCACCTTCAACCGGCTCTACCAGTTTGTGACAGGCTGGACCCTGCTGGGCTCTGACCTCATCCTTATTATTCTCTCCTACTCCTTCATCCTGAAAGCTGTGCTAAGGATCAAGGCAGAGGGAGCTGCCTCCAAGGCCCTGAGCACATGTGGTTCCCACTTCATCCTCATCCTCTTCTTCAGCACAGTCCTGCTGGTTCTGGTCATCACTAACCTGGCCAGGAAGAGAATCCCCCCAGATGTCCCCATCCTGCTCAACATCCTGCACCACCTGATCCCCCCAGCTCTGAACCCCATTGTTTATGGTGTAAGAACCAAGGAGATCAAGCAGGGAATTCAGAAATTGCTGAGGAGGCTGTAAGAACTAAAAGAAGTGATATTTGACCTTGGGAACAGAATCTGATAATGGGGAAAAATTTTCATGTGGCATAGAAAATTTAAATAGTTACTGAAGAAATAAGTATTGATTTTTCTTTCCCCAATGCTTCCATTGATTATAGGGATATCCATATTTTGGCTCATGTTTTCTATTGCATTGCCTTTTTTGCATTCTAGAGATACCTGGAAGGTTATCCTGGCCTCATCTCTGTGAAAGGGACTTGTCAAGCCATTAACAAAGGAGCTCAATTAGAGTGCTTTTACCTATAAGTGGAACCTAATTAACAAAAAAACAAGCAAGCAAACTATAACCAGAGACATTGAAATAAAGAACAAACTGACAGTAACCAGAGAATGGGGGAGGGGATAACAAGGAAACAAAGGGGAAGAGTCATCAAGGAACTGTATAAAGGACACATGGACAAAGCCAAAAGGGGGTAGGATCGAGGGTGGGAGGTAGGGATGGGGAGGGCAGGGAAGGGGTAGTGGTTGGGCAAAAATGGAAAAAAAATTGTACTTGAACAACAATAAAAAAATTAAAAAGAAAAAAGAAAAGAGCTAGGTTTGGGGGTCAAAAAAGTACTATTGTTTTTAAAATAAGGAATAAGTGGTAGTCTAATTACTTCTAATCCCTCTCAATTTACTCAATTAATATGTAGATATGTATTAGATCTCTTGTTTCCACTTGAGATATGACCTAAATATCAAATTGGTTTTGTGCCATAAATGGGTCTCTTAATGGACATATAGAAAGTTGGCTCCAGGACTTGGATTCTTATAGCTAAGTGAATGTCATATGCCATCCATAACCTCTAGCTCTGCCAGATCCTGTAAATACACTTATCCCATGATACTTCTCTGTAATATAAATTTCATGTAGCTCTTTTCTTTTTTTAAAAAAATGATTTTAAATAAATTTTAAGATGACCCAATTGTGAATGTGCTTTTTTGTCATTGACTCTATTACAGGTGTCCACATTTCCCTGACACTTTTCCCACCTCCACCCAGCCCCTACCTTCTCTTCCCTCTGGTCATGATCACATTGTTGTCTGTGTCTATGAGTTATGTATATATGTTTTTTGGCTAATCCCTTTACCTTCTATACAGTCCTCCTCTCTCATCTCCTCTCTGACAGCTGTCTGTTCCATGTCTCTGTTTCTATTTTGTTTGTCAGTTTATTTTGTTCATTAGATGCCATATATGAGATCATATAATATTTGTCTTTCTCTAACAGGATTATTTCCCTTAGCATAATAATATCCAGGTCCATCCGTGCTGTCACAAAAGGTAAGATTTCCTTCTTTTTTATGGTTGTGTGGCATTCCATTGTGTAAATATATCACATTTTTTAAATCCATTCATCTACTGATGGGCACTTGAGCTGCTTCCAGACCTTGGCTATTATAAATAATTCTGCTATGAATGTAGGGGTGCATATATTATTTTGAATTGGTGTTTTAGGATTCTTAAGATATATTCCTGTAATTAGGATCACTGGGTGTGCTTTAACTAAGAATTTTCTTTTCTGATGTTCTTTACCAACTTCTGACTTCATATTATCTTACCTGAATTTTCCATCATATTTCAGAGATGATCTGCACCCACTCTCTCCTGTTTATCTTAGATATACTTAAATTTACTTTTTTTTACCTATTTTCATTCCTGTTGCATCAATTCTTATATCCCATTCTGGTGCCAGCACAGTTTCCTATGGCTCCAGGCCTTTGGATTAGTGAATTATCTGAACAAGGGTAAGCCCATTCTCTTTGCAGTTCCCATCCTGATCATCCCCTGAAAATAGTGGAGACTCAGATCTTGACCAGTTTTTCCTGAGATTAATTTTCATTGGTAACTAGGCCCTTTTTTGCATACTGAAAGCTTCATATATAAGAGCTATTTGAGAATACTTTTTAATAAAGCTGATTTATGATGAAGCTAGCCATTCCAGGGGATTTATAAAATAACATCTTTTTTATGACATTGCCTTTCAGCAAAGTAATAGCTTTGTTCTACTCTTTCTTCTCAGTTTTACAAATCTGAATTAAACACTATTCTATTTACCTATTATTCCTGTTTCTCCTAGCTCATTATTTTCAGATTATGTCCTCCAATATTTTGTCTTAAATTCTTTGCTCAAGCATCACCTTTCATTTAAAAAACCAACATCAGCAAGTTCATTTTACAAATTATGTTCATTCTACATACCTCAATTTAAACTGTACCTATTCCAAAATCCCTCCCTTTATTCATACCACTGAAATCAATCTATTTGGAGCTAGTGTATATCTCTTTCCAATACTAGATTATAAATTCCTCTGAGTCTCCTGAGGAATTTCATTCATCTTTTTAATTTTACATACTTTAGAGGTGCAAATACATTTCTTTATATATAATAGTTTTTCTTTAATAAATAATTCATACATGTACAACTTGTTTTATATTTCTCCTGAAAACTTCTTAGGGAAAGGATCAAGTTGTTAATATAATGTATTTTCCAAAGCACCTTTAAAAAAGTCTTGTACAAGTCATAGTTCAGTGTGATTTTGTATACCACAAAATCTAAGACTGCTTATCTTGAAATGAGATAACAATGACTTATTGAAATCCTAGGTATACTAACTGATTAGTCAACAGTTAGATATATAACTTCAACAGTTAGATATATAACTGTTGACTAATCAATCTGAGTTCTTTTCTCATTAAAGAAGGGTGATAATTGCCCTCTTATTATGGGCTACCTAATTTATGAAAAGTTTTTCAACCAAAGCTTAAAACATGCAAATAACTTGTACAGGGAAATTAATTTAATTATTTTCCTATGCACACTGCATTCTCTAATGTCTTCAGAAGATGTTCTTCTTTATTTTATACACCATGCACTTCAGAGATGCCTTGCCCTGTGTGTCATTCTCAGTTCCCAGTGCAATTTCTTGGTTATTGTGCATCATTCACTTATAAAATCCTGTTTTTTTTATTATTATTATGACCACATACATTATTCATTGATCAAATGACTGATTTCCTTGAAAACGTAATTCTTCTCTAAAGATTTATATGAAACCCTGTCCTTACTAATTTTCATTGTAGCCTAAATTCTATAGCATGTTGAAGTTTTGCTTTGAGTTACACAATGATACCTATATGCATTTTTTTAATTAATTTATTTATTTCTTCAAATACATTTGTCTCTGCCTACCCCACACCACTTTCCCTTGCCCACTCCCTCCCTCCCTCTCTCCCTCAACTCTTCCCCTTTGGTTTTGTCCATGAGTCCTTGGTATATGTTCTTTGACTTTCTTCTTCCCTTCCTATTCCCCTGGCCCCCCACTCCTTCCTTCTTGTCTCTGTTGGTTTCTATTCCTTTCAGTGTTGCTGATCTTATTTCCTTGCATCTTTGTATTGTTGGGTAGGCTCTGCTTATAGGTGAGATCATATGGTGTTTGTCTTTCTCCCCCTGGCTTATTTCACTTAGCATAATGCTCTTGAGTTCCATCCATGCTGTTGCCAAGTTTAGTAGTTCTTTTTTTCTTTCTGCTGCGTAGTATTCCATTGAGTAAATGTACCATCATTTTTTGATCCAGTCATCTACTGATGGGCACTTAGGTTGCTCCCAACACTTGGCTATTGTAAATTGTGCTGCTATGAACATTGGGGTGCATAGGTTCTTTGGAATTGGCATTTTGGGAGTCTTAGGGTATAGTCCCAGCAGGGGAATCACTGGATCAAAAGGCAGTTCCATTTTCAGCTTTTTGAGGAAATTCCACACTGCTTTCCACCAGTCTGCATTCCCACCAACAGTGTACTAGTGCTCCCTTTTCTCCACAGCCTCGCCAGCACCTGTTGTTTGTGGATCTGTTTATGATGGCCATTCTGACCGGTGTGAGGTGGTACCTCACGGTGGTTTTGATCTGCACTTCTCTGATGGCTAGTGATGTTGAGATCCTTTCAAATGTCTCTGGGCCCTCTATATCTCTTCCTTGGAAAAGCATCTGCCCAGGTCCTTTGCCCATTTTTGGATTAGATCGTTTGTCTTCTTTGAGTAGAGTCGAGCGAGTTCTTTATATATCTTGGAGATCAAACCTCTATCTGATGTATCATTAGCAAATATATTTTCCCATAGAGTTAGCTCCCTCTTCATTTTGCTGGTGTTTTCTTTAGCCTTGCAGAAGCTTCTTATTTTGCTGAGGTCCCACTTGTTTATTCTTTCCTTTGTGTCCCTTACTTTAGGAGGCATATCAGTGAAAAAATTACTGCATCGGATATCTGTGAGTTTCCTGCCAATGTTCTCCTCTAGGACTTTTATAGTGTTGCGACTTATATTTAACTTTTTTATCCATCTTGAGTTTATTTTTGTGTATGGTGTCCGCTGATGATCCAATTTCAATTTTTTGGCAAGTAGCCGTCCTGCTCTCTCAACACCATTTGTTGAAGAGGCTATTATTACTCCATTTTATGCTTCTGCCCCTTTTGTCAAATATTAGATGCCCATAGAGACCTGGGCTTATTTCTGGGCTTTCTATTCTGTTCCACTGGTCTATGGGTCTGTTCTTGTGCCAGTACCAGATTGTTTTGAGTATAGTGCCTTTGTAGTATCGTTTGAGGTCCGGTATTGTGATCCCTCCTACTTTGTTTTTCTTTCTGAAAATTGCTGCAGCTATTCAGGGTCGCTTATGGTTCCATACAAATTTTTGAAATGTCTGTTCTATTTCTGTGAAATATGTCATCGGAATCTTAATAAGGATTGCATTGAATCTATAAATTGCTTTGGGTAGTATGGACATTTTGATGATATTAATTCTTTCAATCCATGAGCATGGTATATGATTCCATTTATTTGTGTCTTCCTTGATATCTTTCTTCAATGTTGTAGAGTTTTCTGTGTACAGGTCTTTTACCTCTTTGGTTAAATTTATTCCTAGGTACTTTATTTTTCCTGTTGTTATAGCAAATGGTATTATTTTTTCTGTTTTCTTCTTCTTCTT